GGTCTGTTACAATTACTGCATTATCACTTGATCACACTTATTTGAGCTTACTGCAGTTATTTATTGTGACCATTGTCAAAGTTTCAATACATACTATTCACTACCCAGTCTATGCATGGAAACCATGCGGCAAAAACAGCCCGTTCTGTATTCACTGTTTCTGTGATCACAACAACTAATTCATTTATATCTATCCACCCATTCAGCTTATACCATTTCAGCCCCAGCCATTTCTATAGATATTCTCCGGAGTGCTTTTCGAATGAGGCGTGGGGCAGAGCAGCCAATCAGAACTGAGCTCAATTAAATATATCAGCCTTATAGCACAGCAACAAAACCAGCCTGTTTGATTCTAAGGGATAAAGAGAGGTTGGAATATGGTCATTAAAAAAAGTGAATGAGCATTTTTGGTACATAAAACCACACAAATGTTATAAGTGGACCTCAAAAATAAAAAAGTACAGGAAAAATGTACAGGAAAAATGTAGTACATGGGATCTTTAAATGGGCTCTGTTTGCTGCTAAACCCTAGAGAGCAGCGATGGGCAATGTTTGTTTATTCGAGCTCAGCTTATGTCTGTCCTCATTTGGGAGCTACTAAGTAATCAACAGCTAGTAAGCAAGACCACTAATCAGCCTAGCTGGTGACAAATTGTTAATTGCAATTATTTATATGGCAATTAATCATCTGCTAAACTTTCATAATATATTATGCTTAAAGGTAACCTAGAAGAAACAATAGATATCAAACTGAGCATATCTATATCTCAAATAAAGACCAATGACAGGTAAAGCACAACAAGTAAAAACAAGTGCAGTCTCACAGTTGCTATGCAAAAAGGGGAAAAAAGCTGCCATTCTTCCTTGAAAATTCTCTCAAGGAAGTAACTCCATTTAGCTATGTTTCTCTGTAAGCTAGACACCTTGTACATCTTTCTACCTCCTGCTGAACAAACACACCTGTATTTACCAAGCGTGTCTCCAGCATGCAGTGGAGTCTGGACAGTAAAGGATTATGGTGAATAATGGGACATTCTTGTTATGATGTGCTTTTTGATAACTTTGCTGTTACAGTATGAGGAGATTAACATTGGATGCATATAGACAACTTTGTTAGAGCATGTATGTAGAAGCTTAAAAGAGTTACATGCACGTGCATGTGGATGCTGGGACTGCAGATCACAGTGTTTCTGAGGCATGAAGGTCATAAGCCAGTGTGCTCCGGGAGCTTCTGGGAGTGACTAGGTTCTCTCTGATTACTCTCTAGTTCTCTCTGATTACAGGCCTTTCACCCAGAACCCACCTTCCATGTGTCCCACATGTGCTGCAGCCCGTAATTCACAAACAGCAACCAAAACCATTTCACACGTTGATAAGAGCTCCGACACTGGGAAGGCCTAAAATAACTTTCTTGAATCAACAGACTATAGCAGGCCACTGGGGAGCCATTAGTAGCTCCGCCCAGCATGGTTACTAGCAGGCAACTCTAAAGAATGGGACAGAGTCTATGCTTTTCAAGGGAGGTGTTGAGTAACACAGCTATTATGAGAAAAGTCCCCCATTAATCACGAGGGCGGTGGTAGTTCGATGGCTAGCCGTTGGGTGTCCCACTCATGTTATAATAACCTCACAAACCACCAAGCCGACCGGCAAAAGCTCCACAACAAGGGCTGCGGCACGATCCAAACACAACCAGCCCCGAAGTGAACCCACGGAGGGGTTCAAATTCCACACTCCCTCCTGTCTTCAGCAACTTGGAGAGAAAAACAGAAGAGGAGGGGGGGGAAAAAAAGATAAAGAGGTCGAAGAGCTGTTCTTCCACACAGATGGCTTGTCAAACGTGTTCTGCAGACAATGAGACCCCATCCCCCAACTCAACGTTTGCACAGGCCACACCAAGCCACCCAAACACATCTCCTCTTCCACTCATACACTCCACTGTGAAACAAAGTCTGACTGAGTGCAACAAGGCTGTTAGTACCTGTTAGTGTTTTTGAGCACAACATAATAGAAGTACAATATTTGAAGCGAAAGCTTTGCTTAATAGCGCCCTGATCTAACGCTCTAGCCACAAGCTAATGTTACACCAAGCTAAAACACTAGCCACAAGCTAAAATACTAGATACAACAATGCAGTAAGACACAATCTGACAGTCTGATACAATTTAATACAGTTACATACACTGATCAGTCATTAGAACTACCCCCTTGTTTCTACGCTCATTGTCCATTTTATCAGCTCCACTTACTATATAGGTGCACTTTGTAGTTCTAAAATTACAGACTGTAGTCCATCTGTTTCTCTGCATACTTTGTTAGCCCCTTTCATCCTGTTCTTGGAGCTTTTAAACACCTCGGTGTCACTGCTGGACTGAGAATAGTCCAACAACCAAGAACATCCAGCCAACAGCATCCTATGACCATTGATGAAGGACTAGAGGATGCCTGACGGAAGCTGTGCAGCAACAGATGAGCTACTGTCTCTGACTTTACATCTACAAGGTTGCCCAACAAGTTAAATGTGTCTAACAAGTTAAATGAGTAGACAGTGAGTTGATACAGTGTACAGACAAAAATTCTGTCTGATCCTCTTGTACCAGCGCAACACACACTAACACACCACCACGTCTGTGTCACTGCAGTGCTGAGAATGAGCTCCAACCCAAATAATACCTGCTCCGTGGTGGTCCTGTGGGGGTCCTGACCACGAAGAACAAGGTGAAAGGGGGCTAACAAAGTATGCAGAGAAACAGATGGACTACAGTCTGTAATTTTAGAACTACAAAGTGCACCTATATAGTAAGTGGAGCTGATAAAATGGACAATGAGGGCAGAAACAAGAAGGTGGTTTAAATATTATGGCTGATCTGTGTATGTTGTATTGTTTCATCCCTGGTATTCACTCATTATACTATTATACATTATATTATACGCTATACAATTCAGACACCACAGATTAATATGACGTGCTGGGAATGGGCCGTTGGACTGGGGGACTGTGCAGAGATAGGAGATAGTGGCCTGAGCTATGGGAAGTGAGTGGACTCTGTGGCCTCTACAGATGCTAATCCTAGCGATCAGCTGAGGACAGCAGGAGTTTTAAGCACATACACAGTCTAGACCTAGAGTCTAATCAGGTCACTTTCACTGCTCCAAAAAGATAAAAAGGGGTTCGTATATGCACTGTGAAATATACAGACGCTAATACCTGTTTATACAAAACACAGAGCTCACCTTCACCCATTCTCCAGCACGTTCAAGATGAAAGGCAGCACATGATTCGTTTATAATGATATTCTTTACTGATCTAACTGTAGACCCATCACAGGAACCAGGCGACAGAGTAAGTGTCCCTTTGATTACGATTCTACATCAGAGACCAGCATGCAGCACTCTGCCGAATGACAGCATTAAAATGTTGCACCGAAGAATCTGGCCATCCCTCCCCTCTGCTGCAGTTGCCATAGCAACCATCACTTGCTCCAGCAATCGGGGCTCAACCTTTTTTCAGAGTAATCCGCAGATCATCGAATCAAAGTGCTCATGTTTATGTGCTGTATGATAGACAAAACACAGTCCTGCCTTTAGACGCATCAAACGACTGTGTGTCATGACTTTTATAACCGGTGAAGAGAAGATGTGAGAATTCCTGTCATCCATCGAGAGAGCCACACCCTCTGATAAAACACCAGCTAATGAGCTGAAGGCCTGTGGAGTGAGTGACAGGTCAGCTTAGATTTCTACTAACACCTGCCAATGACCTGCAAAAAACATTTAACAGTGACAGTTATTTGAACCCCTTATTAACAGCCGGTGACTTAGCTCTGTATAGCTGAAATGCGCTTAAGTGACATATTGATTGCTATTGAGCAAATCAATGAAGCAATGCTGTAGATATGTTGTAAGGGCAGGGTCAAATGAAAAGACATGAACTATCATTCATATCATTTGATGTTGAGCTTTTCAGGCAGAGTTTAATACAACAATGATGTGGAAATTAACACAGTAGGGGTCTTACTAGTAGAGGCAGATATTGCTTAAAAACATGATCAGCATTAGACAGACATTTAGAGTTGACAGACATTGCAAACCGATATTTGATGACATATTTATCATACTCGTAAGAGCAATATGTTTAAGACACACTAGGCTAGAATGTCTGCCTTTTATTCATTTCACTTCATTTGTAACCCTCAAAAAACAATCACTGCATTCCTCTGCAAAGCCAATCCTGGTAGAAATAAAACCTGTTTCTTCATTTTATAAATGTTTATATATCAGCATATGTATGGACACAATTCCCAGTGCATCCCTAAAACATAGTTGTGCAACAACCCAAAAAGATGCAAAGGCACGAAGGCATGAGCATATAAATGAGCTACACAGCCAGGCCCAGCTCAGAGTACAAAAAAAGAGCAAAGAGCAGAAAGAGAGAATAAAGAGGAGAGATAACACAGAGTGGACGTGAGGTAAAGACTATATGGCGGGTGACAGTGTGATGGAAAAACAGATAAGACTGAGTGAGCTGTAAAAAGTGGACGTTCCATTTTCAAGGTCCATTCCTATTGACCTCCTTATCTCCTCTAGTCCACCCCCCTACTCACTAAAATGGATGTCTGCAGCCCCTTCCTGCACACACACACACACACACACACCTCTCTGGGGAGCCAATACACAGCTCATATAAGGGGAGGAGGGGTGAATTTCATCAGACTCATCATATCCACGTTGCCGGTTTTCATTATAGCACACAGATGAGCCAATGGAGTCGGTGTATTACTCCATCAACCCCCTCCAGCATTACCACAGAGACCGACACCTCAACCCAGCACACGTGTGTCATTCAGGGGTTAACAGCCAATCAAGCCCAGCTGCTCCTAAGCAGATAAAAAGAACAACATGCATTCCAAACCAGAGGCAACTGTCTACTGTAATAGCACTGAGAAAATCCCTCCGCTGTCATGTCACCCAGCCCTTCAGGTTCTCTAGCGTTCTCTTACCCTCTCCACCTCTGATTGGCCTCTGTCCGCTGTGTGTATCCCAGGAGTGTTAACATGATCAGCTCCACAGCCAAATGAAAAGAGAACACAGAAAGCAACGACAGCGGCTTGAAAACTGTATTCGGTCCAGCTCTTAATGACACTACAAAGCAAATCCACAGTGTTTCCAGAAATGTCAGGCTCAAGGTTCCGAAAGCCGCTGGAAATGAAAAGCAGAGGGCTGATTCCTCTTTACTCTACCGGCACTCGCGCTCAGCCCCTCCCTGCTCTCTCACAGCCTGTCTCAAACAAACGCCCTTCCATCCTCCTTCCCCCCTGTGTCTCTCTCTCTCTCTCTCTCTCAGCCTCTCAGAACACACACACACAGATGTTACTATCGGCAGGCCACGCCCTCTTTTCAACACCCAGGTCCCTCATAGGATGCAGGCTGAATGTAGCTGCCGCCCACTGCTCCTCTCTCTCCTTTACTCTTTTGAATCTTCTCCCTGCTGCGGGTCTGTGCTTTCGGCTCAGTTGGTAAAGGACGTGAGACACCCTTCCTAAAAGCGAGAGGGTATTGAAGCATGTGTGTACACTACTAATCAAGTTTGGAGACACCTTGCCTTCTTTTGAAAATTGAATTTTCTCCGTTACTTTTAAATTACATATGGAAAAAAAACACATAACAGCTGTGCAGGTAGTAGCAAAATACATTTAATGCTCTTTAAAACTCATCACAGCTGTGCAAATCATTGTATAGCAGTATTTAATGCAGAAATCTTCATTTTATTGGTACCCTTAATACCACCACTAAGTCAATGCTAATTTCCACTAGTACACCTAAGGGATTTTCAATGTTATGCTCTACTTCACATTCATTCATATATACACACATATACATGCAATTTGTAACTACAAACTTGCGTGTTTGTGAGATCCTGCTGGTGTGATGCACACAAAAAGAGCTAATAGCACCCCCTTGTGAACAATTTGTTAAACATGGTTTTATAATGACCTGCGAATTCCTCGTTTTCTCATTCTAACTGCATATAAACTCACTAAGCTGACTCATTAAAAATGTTCATTCTAGTATTTTTTCTTCTCACCACGTAATTGATTTTGATTGAGTAACTGCAACAGCCCAACAGCTATGACTTTGGCCATTTTGCAGCACTCAGATTCATGCGCATTAAATAGTCGTGCTTGTTGTGAAGAACAGGTTTTGCCGAGACAATGATTTGACAGTTTTCTTATCCAAACAATTCTTAAAAGTGCATATTACAACTTTGCCCAAAGGTGGTTTAAAAACCTGAAAAAAAACTGACATTACAACGAGGGGATAAAGTGTGTGGATTTTGGCATTGTTCCAATGCTAGTACTGTTACACAAATATATCCATGTAAAACTGTTTTCTTTAATATGTTAACTAGAAACTGACAAAGAAAGCATGATTTAATTTGATCTGTGTCATCACATCACCTGTTTGTAAAGCACTTTGAGCTGCCATCAGTATGAAAAGCACTCTATAAATAAAGATAATAAACACATGGAAAAGGTAGGTGTCCCCAAACTTCTGAAAGGCAGAGTATGCATTCATGTGTGAACAAGAGGCAGTATCTACTGTGTAGCCATCATCAGTCCTTCTTCAGCATTTCAGCAAGCTTTCAGAGGGCAATTTCAGGTCACATTCTGAACAAGAACAAGACCTGACAAAAACGTCCTTCAGCACAACAGTTTAAAGCACATAAGGTTCCAGACAAGCGCTCACACTTCTATAGAGGCTCTAAGTTTCGCCTCACAATCTGTTTTTCATTTCTCTGTCCTGCCCAATCACAGCTAACATGCAGCCTGCTTAGTGGGGTTCAGAGAATATTAGTGTTTCCTTCTACCACTGATCCAGATTAGGAGAACAGCCAGCACCACACATAAGCGCTCTTTTATTGTTCATCTGTAATAAACTGACTGTGCACTTTACTCTGCCTGTTTAATGCACCCTTCCCTACCTGCCACTGTAAATTTGTATTTTCCTCTCCCTCATAAGCACAAATTTTAAAATTAAAGTTTTCCCCAGGGCTGTAAGCAGAATGGGTTTTCTAGCAGAAAACTGGATTACTAAATTAAAGAAAGGGACCTGGCAAAATCTGATCAAATGAGGCATAATCTCTTTTGTCAGAGTGCCGAACAGGCTTTTACCAGAGGCAACATGGCAGCTGCAGACACACTAACCTTGTCTGCAACCCCTGCAGCAAGCAGGGGACAAAACAGCCAAGCCACCCTCCTGCAGTGTGTGCTGAAAGCTCGTCTAGACCATCCCCTTACCTCTCCACCCTCTGTGGACCCCCTCCTACCGATGTGCTGATAGGGCACCCTGGGATGTTAAGATGCTATGTACTGTGACATCTGTCAATCATTTGACTATGCACATAGCATGTAGCAGCACTGAGGCGAGCAGCTACAACAGCCCACAACAGGTATAGACAAGCACAAGCATTAGCACACACAACACAACACACTTGAACCAACTTTAACAACACAGAACACTTCAAAAACACGGTGTTAGAGCTGAATCACACTCAGAATTTTTAACCAACTCCAATTATAGCCCAAGAACATTCTGCTACAAACAACACTGACTGCCGCCCAACACAATCCTGTTCAAACCTGACGCCCACCAACTGTAGACCATATAAAACCTGAAATTCCTTATTAATTACATAAAGATGAGTCAAAATGAGCTCTCTAACATTTAATGTAATAAACTTTGGAATTCATCATGTTTATCAACTAACTAACTCTTCACATCTTGCTGTCTTCCAGCTAAAATGTACAAAGTGGATAAATGAGTTTTACAAGGCTAGTAAGGTTAACTGAGGTTATAGATGATTAGCATTTGTAGACCACAAATTAGATTTTAGATTTTAGATTGATGGCTTTTCTCTGTGTGAAAGCCATGTCAGCTACTGTGGCTTTTGTGGTGTGGTTCTAGATTTAACATGGTACAAGGTCACCTACAGTGGCTTTTTGTGGTGTGGTTCTAGATTTAACATGGTACAAGGTCACCTACAGTGGCTTTTTGTGGTGTGGTTCTAGATTTAACATGGTACAAGGTCACCTACTGTGGCTTTTTGTGGTGTGGTTCTAGATTTAACATGGTACAAGTTCACCTACTGTGGCTTTTTGTGGTGTGGTTCTAGATTTAACATGGTACAAGTTCACCTACTGTGGCTTTTTGTGGTGTGGTTCTGAATTTAATGTGGTAAAAGAGAAGCAGTTCTAAGTAAGTGCTGGTGGCCACTGACTGGTGGCGCACGTCGGCACTGAATGCCAGCTGCGGTGTGCACACCTTCATTAAAACGATGGTTTCAATAGCTGTAGTACTCTCCTAAATTGATTTGCTGTTTTGTTCCTCTCGCAACCATCATGCGCATAGGCACTTTGCGGTCCTCAGTGCCAGGAATGAGTCAAGCATGCCTGATTAAAAAAATCTAAAAGTAATAAAAAGTAAGGAAGAAGAATTAAGTATAGATAAAAAAATAAACAAATATACATGTATTTTGAAGCCGATCCACGGCTGATATTAATAACTGGGTCCTGTCAGGCTTGGGCAAATATTTAGAGATGTATATTGAGTACCTGGTACAGGTATTATTGTTATGATGTCAGCCTGTTTAAGGTGTATGGGGAGCTGGAGGTTCCAGCAAAAATGTGCACTATCTGGTAACTCAGAAGCACTGATCGAGAGCACTATAGAATATGTTCTTTCATGACACACTTTATGATATCACTTTCTAGGAAAATGAGAACAGGTTTGGGTCAAGTCAGATCTGTCGTAAGGGAAAGCTTTCACACACTACTCTTTCACTCTGTTTACCTTGAGTGTTGTTAATAATTTATCAGTTTAATATGAACCCTTTCACTGTCTCTCAAAAGAGCAGCCAGTAGACGCAACAACAGCCATGCTCCTGTGCACAGACCTCCAACTCCGTAGTAAGCAAGTGTGCTCTGAGAATACAGTTTGGGTGATCTGATAATCTATTCACAATGTAAACCATCTTGACCAAAGATATTTTTACACAGAAATGGTCATCAGCAAATTCGCTGCATAATTGTGCATGTGTGCTTTTTCCTATATGAAGAAGAATACTGCCTACTGTTTAAATAAGATATATCTGCTACTACCAAAAAAAGAATATGACTGAAGCCTACCGAGGATCCCAAAGAGGTGCCAAGCTTCAGTATGATCCACAGTGCAGGGCCACTGAGCAGGGATGGCCTTTAAGGCTGATCTGAAGTCAGTTTCCCTTAAAGTACATAACGCAAGGATGTGGCCTTGGAGATCTTTCATGAATGCAGTCCTGATTCAACAACCACTGAATAAATGGCGCACTGAATAGCGTGTCAGACTACGGATCAAAAGATTCTCAGTTTAAGAAAACATAGTTGAATTCCCATGAGATAACCCGGAAAGGCAACTACAGTCGGACAAACAGAATTTCTGTAATGACAGCAGTTATTTTTATAAGTGAAAAACACAGGTGTGTATTTTGTGCATGTAGCAACATACCTGTCAAGAGAAGCAGCAGAAAAATTGCCATTCATGCATGTGTGGCTGCTGCACAACGCAAAGTGGAATGTTTTTGCAACACTTTTGTTTTCACTGTTCTCAGTTTTTGCAAGTAAAAAACATCACGAGAGTGTGTTTCAAAAACGGAAGAGCTGCAACTTTGAACAATTAACAGAAGAGATAATAACATCCCTGGTTTTGAGTTTGGAAACTCCACTACTTGACTCCAACTGTACTTGTACCCAGTGTGAGAGCACGTCCCATCATGCCTCTAAACCTGACCATCTGCAACCCCTGCCTCAGTGTGAGACACCTCACAACAGCACTAGTGTCACACTCAAGAGCACACTGTCATCAAGAGTTACAAACCAACCAAATCATCATAATTAACTCAAACAACAGCTGGATGAACGAGATGATTCAGCAGACATGAGGTCACTGTACGTGATGAGGAAAGAAACACAGACTTGCAATGTCTCTGGTACGTTGCCAATGGCAAAAGGGTTCTAAATGCATTTCAGCATTTGTTGCTACATGTTTATTACAGCCAACCACAGCTGGAGCATGTACCAGCATAAAAAAATGACATCACATTATACAACAGTTAGTTCCAGCCACGTTAGCTGATTGGTTGGGAGGCGTTCTAACTATGCTGTTATTTCACCATAATTTTTTTTTCACAAACACTTACTTTGCGCACAAACAGAAAATGGACACTTTGAAGATCACATTTGACCTACAGCTGATTTGGTCAGACTCTGAAAATGAGACTACGCCAAGTCC